CAGCTGCCAACTGGATTTAACTGCATTCACCGCTACTCTCTGGGCTCAGCCATCCAACCGGTTCTTTACCCAGCAAAAAGTGTACCTGCCTAAGCCACGAGCTGCTAGTTTCTCCAGGAGAATGCTGTGGGAGACGCTGTCAAAGGCTTTACTAAAGTCCAGATAGACAACATCCACAGCCTTTCCCTCATCCACTATGCAGGTCACCTGGTCATAGAAGGAGATCAGGTTGGTCAAGCAGGACCTGCCTTTCATGAACTCGGGCTGGGCTGGGCCTGATCCCTTGGTTGTCCTGCACATGCCCTGTGAGCACCCTCAAGGTGAACCTCTCCATAATCTTCCGTGGTACTGAGGTCAGGCTGACAGGCCTGTAGTTCCCTGGATCCTCTATCTGGCCCTTCTTGTAGATGGGTGTCACATTGGCAAGCCTCCAGTCATTTGGGACCTCCCTTGCTAACCAGGACTGCTGATAAATGATGGAGAGTGGCTTGGCAAGCTCCTTTGCCAGCTCCCTCCATACTCTTGGGTGGATCCCATCAGGCCCCATAGACTTGTGAGTATCCAGGTGGCCTAGTAGGTCGTTAACTGCTTCCTCCTGCATTATGGCGAGTTTATTCTGCTCTCCATCCCCATCTTCCAGCTCAGGGAGCTGAATACCCTGAGGATACTTGGTCTGGCTATTAAAGACTGAGGCAAAGAAGGCATTAAGTACCTCAGCCTTTTCCTCATCCTTGGTGACAGTGTTCCTCTCCAACTCCAATAAGGGATGGAGATTCTCCTTAGCTCTCTTGTTGTTGTGAATATATTTGTAGAAACATTTTTTTGTTGTCCCTTATGACTGTAGCCAGATTGAGTTCTAGCTGGGCTTTTGCCTTTCTAATTTTCTCTCTGAGAAGTCTCATTAAGACACATTATGCATTTTTGGTGAGATCACCAAATCCCCTTCACAATCTGAGCAACCCTGTACTTTGTCCTTAAATGAAAGATGATTATTTTTACTTAAATTGGAATCACTTGTATGACTTTTCTTTTGGATTGAGTGGGAAACGAGTTGATTTTCTTTCTGTGGGAGTTATTCTGTATGTGAATAGCATAACTGTTCATAGAAATAGAACTGTTAGTTTTCAGATACCTTATCCTTCCTCCTCAACAGGAATCTTCCCTCAAGATCTTCCTGAAGATGTTTCTACAGATGAAGATGATGATGAATTCAGCAGGGGAAGGCGAAAGAAAAAAGCTGTCAAGCCTTGGGAGAAAAACAAGTTGGAAGAAGTAAAAGGTAAAGCAAGATCAACCTTTGGAAGAGAGACAATCTGCAGTCTACTTGTGTAATTTGGCAAAGTATCAGATGTAAGCTGTTGTGAAGAAGGCAAACCTGTTGTTCGGGGTGTGCTGATTTGTATCACATTGCGTTGAAGGTTAGGTGTGAAATTAAGGTCTCTGAAAGCAGTGGGAATTTTGTTCCCCACTTTGAGGCAAACATCACCTCAAAAATTTCAATCCAAAGCAGAACTGGAAGCAGTTGTTTGCACTGCTCCATTGAGTGGTTCCATATACTATAGGAAAACAGAAACATGTCAGTCTTCTTAAAATAGGATGACTGTTATAGGAATTTGGGCATGTTTCTGGAAAGGTAGAGTTACTGAGAACCAGGTGCAGGTATCTCTAGCATCACAGCTTATATTGACGTGGCACAAAGCCCAGTCATACCCAAAAATATCTCACCAATCTACTGAACCCCTAAGTTGCCCTTCTGATGGGCTTAACAGGTGAGTAAATAACAGCTTTTTCTAGCAATATTGCTATACAAACTAGGGTTACCACAGGGAATGGCTTAGATGTTAGCTGTGATGAGGCAAGATCAGCAAAATATTAATTAGGCCACACGTCAGAGGAATGCAATGTCCTGACCAGCTGTAATAGTAAAACTGTTGTGCTGGCTGATAGCAGGAAAATGGCACGCCTATTTGAAAAGAAAAGAAAAAGAAAAAAAAAGGGGGAGGGGGAAATAGACTGGAATTCAGTTGTTTTAAGTACCTTTGTGTTTCACGCCTGTGTTCTATGGCATTCTTTTTGGGGTGGGTTTAGAGGATGCACAAGAGATGTCAAATGTGAAGGAAGCATCAGTTCCCCAGAAGAAGAGGAAAAAAAGGAAGAAGAGGGACAGCCCAAGTGCTGATTCTGGAACAGCTGATGGAAACTGTGAGGAGGGAATAGCTGAAACATCTGGATCTAATGTTTTTAGCCAGGAAAAGGTGCCAGAAAATAACAAGGAAAGGAAGAAAAAGAAATTGCTAGTAAATGAGGCAAATGAGACCACAAATGTAGCAACTGACACCAGAGAAAATCACAGTATCTCTGCGCAGAACAGTCCGACCGGCACAGAACAGAGTAAAAAGAGTCAGTTGAAGAAAATGAATCCAAAAGTGCAAAATATTCCTCTAAAACCAGCGTGTCAGAATGGACCAGCTAATGCCAATAAGACAGAGGATATCAGCCCATCTGTCACACCGTTAACTCCTAAGGTTGTGAAAAAGAAACAGAAAGCAGGAGCTGTCTTGGTGAATGGGGATGCCCTTTTGCAGCAAACTAACATGAAATCCAACAAGGAGGGCTTGCTGGGGACCCTATCAGGAGATGCAAACTCTGAATTTGCACCCTCCAGAAAGGTCAAATTGAAGACAAAGCTAGTTGGTTTGGAAGGGATGAAAGTCTCCAGCCAGAAAGCAGCAACCTTGAAAAAGAAGAGAAAAGTAAAAGAGGTGCTAAACTCTGTCGAAGCCAATGGAGTTCTGGAGACTGCATGCAAGAAAAGCAGGAAGGGGGTATGTATATCGCTTGTATATCTCATTCTTTTCTCTGCCTTCTTCATCAGGCTTATTTCCAAATTTGGCTTTAGCTTTCTGAGTGTGGGGCTTCATGGGCACACCATGTGCTAATGTCATCATGCATTGTCACCAAAAAGAACTCAATTCCCCAGAAATCCACACCCACCACCACGGTCTTACGCCCTCCTGTGCAACGATACTAAACCCTGTGCCAGCTACTCGGCTGAAAGAACTCATCTAGCTGAAACTTGGGTTGTTAGGGTATGAGGTTGTCTTTTCTGCTTCTTTTATCCTTTTTTTTTTTTTTTGGTCCCTGGGTTAATTATTCTCTTGCGTTGGGTTTCTGGTGGAGTTTACAGCACGTTCACAAAGGGCATATTTTGTCAAAAGGATGAGAATGGGAAGATAGAACATCCTCTTTTGAGCAGCAGCAGCAGCACACACTTAGATTAGTACGAGCCCCTTGTGAAATTGCCTGCAGCAATTCCAATAGTGGCTTCTTTTGCTAGCTCACTTCTCAGTCTTAAACAAATTGTTAGTGCTGTATGGGGAAGGTATTTGGGGGAAGAGCAAACAGAGAATATGACACTGTGACCTTCAATGTCATCAATGGCTGTATAATCACATTTATGAATGGTCCAGTTTCTTAGAAATACAATATTGTGTTTTTTCACTAGGAAGGTCTGATTGTAGTCTTCTTCAAAAATTTAGGTCTTGCAGTTTGAGAACAAGCTGGGTTTTTTCCCCTCTGTTTCCTACTCCCATTTTCTTCTTGGCAATACGTAGAATAGGGTTGATTTTGCTCAGTGATTTGAGGGTCAAGAAGCATTTTGCACTGTATATTTTTGGTAGTGTGCCTAAGAGAGAGTGCAGCGGTTCTTCCTTCTGCCACTGAAATTCTTTTAACTGCTCATTTCCTGTGTGCCTATTCACCCTGACGCATTTAGGGGTTCAGCTATAGTTTTGGAAGTCTTGCTGCCCATCTCACTTTGGTGGAAAGAAAATTCATAAAGCATAAATGAGATTCAGAATACAAAACAATTCCATCTTCCTCTGGGTCAAAACTGCATGTTACCAGCCTGTCAGCTCACCTCTAAGTTTAAAACTATGATTTGTTAAGTAGTGTAGCCTCATACATGAACTTGATATAACCACGCAGTCCTTCAAGGGAGAAAAAATGCATTTTGAAACATTGCTTAAATAGTATTAAAATAGCTTTGACATTTTCTAATTTTTTATGATAAAGTACTGAGAGGGAAGAACCAAAACACTTCTCTCTCCCCCGTATGCAAATTGCATTTTTCTCACTGCCAGGCTTCCAAAGTAGGAACAGTTGGCTGTGTCTCCTGTTCCCTAAATATTCAGTGTTGCATACCTTGTCTTTCTTTCTCTATAAATGCTTAGCTTCTAAGAAAATATGATTATGCCACCCCCATCTCCATTTGTAAAAGTTTGCTGCAACTGACTAACAGGTTCAAAGAACCATGATAGATTAAAGACAAAAGTTCCTGCAAGCTTCATGGAAATCATTTGTTGTCACAAATTAGCATAGCCACTGAGGGAAAGGCAGCAGCATGACCCCAGCATTTGTCTGTTGGCTGGCTGGCCAGTCAGTGCATGGGCTAGTGGGCCACTCTTCCCATGTGTAATTCCAAAGAAACTACAGCATTTGCTGTTTCTTACCTAATCAAAGTAGCTGTGTGTGTATGTGTGTGTAGAGTGGGTCTGGGGGGACAGAGACAAGGAGAGAAGTTTGGGAGTTGAGTCGAGAAGAGAATGAGAGTGTTGGTATAAGAAAGAAGAGGGCAGGGTAAAGCTAAAATGCACAAATGTGGAGGAAATATGGCTTTGTTAATTTTGGTTTCATTGCTTGAGAAAGAACATGTTGTTTTATTTCCTGGTTTTAGTTACATAATACTGGTCTTGTGTCCAGAAATGATGAAGGGCGTGTTTTGATTCTTGATTTCAAAGATAACACACACCTCCAACAAATTAGCTTCAAATATCAAAAGGGAGGAGGAAGGGGAGAAGGGGAAGAACCAGTCAAGTTCAGCATTATTTCACAGTTGTCTCCAGAATTCATAGAGCTAAAAGACTTATGCTTTTTCACTTTATTTAAAGCAGAAGTGATTTTCAGATCGAAAGAGGCCATATCCCCTTGGACATTTTCCACAGCACGGCTGGGAACTGCTTTTGGAATTTCACATCTGTAGGATGATGTGAAGCATAGCTGAACTTCCCCTCACAGGAATCCAGAGATATCTGGGGCCCATAGGCAACAGGTTGGAAAGCTCTGGAGCAGTGCAGTTCATTAGTGATACTGCCAGTACAGATCCTAAGAATTGCCTTGTGCTGGAGAGAGGATTGCTTTAAATGGCACTCCTCAATATGAATTTGAGGCAGCAAACTAGTAGCAATACACAATAGCTCGATTTCTGAGAGTATAGACAGACTTCATATTCCACTTCTTTTTCTTCAGTCTCCATTTTAGCCTAAAGCTGAGTTTGTTCATTATTTGCGTATCTTATGCATCCAGAGGTACCAAAAAAGAGATTTTGCTTACGGGCAAGGAAAAAAAAAAGTATTACTTATGTGCAAGAGAGCTGGGTCAACTGTAAGACAGCTTCATATACATGAAGAAAACATGCTTTACAGATTGCCCAGAGAGGTGGTAGCTGTCGCACCCCTGGCAACATTCAAGGTCAGGTTGGACGGGGCTCTGAGCAACCTTAGCTAGTGAAGATGTCCCTGCTCATTTTAGGGGGATGGGATTAGATGGCCTTTAAAGCTCCCTTCCAACCCAAACTATTCTATGATTCTATGCTTGTTTGCACTCTTGACAGGCCAGGCAAATGTATTACAGGTTATTCTATCTTTGCTTTGCAGTGACCTTCCTATTTCTGCACAGAGCTTGCCTTAAATACCTGTTTTCAGCCATGCTAACTGCAAAATTAACTCGTGAGAGTTAACCATGGTGATTAGCTTATGTGAGTACCAACTAGTGCTCTTTCAGCTGTGGCAGTATTTACAGAAGCCATGTGTGGTAAGCTCTGAGCACTGATCACTGTACTAGGTATAGTTAACTACAATACTTTTGTACTGAGAGCATTTTTTCTTTTCCCTCCTTTATAGGAAAGTAGTGCCACTTTATCATCCTTAAAGAAAAAGAAAGCAAAACCAGGAAATGATTTTGTGAAATTTGAAAAATCAACTTTACCAAAGCCAGTATTCTTCAGGAAAGCCAGAAGCAGCATCTCTTCCACCAGAGCATCCATACAGGTAGTGTGATCCCACAGATGGCAGCTGAGTCTGGGCATCGGTCTCTTCCCAGGCTACCTGCCCAAGCAAAGGGTTTGACCTTGCTCTTGCTGTCTTTTCCACTCTGTGTTAGTCTCCTAACATGGGCAGATAAAACTGAAAATGCTGTTGTATTTCCTTGTAGACAGAGTCACACATGGCTCCAGAGTTTCAGAAAATTAGTTGTAGGCATCTTTAAAATATCTTCTTCCTCCCCTCCTGCTCTCAGAAATACCTTCTTTTTTGAAAGGACACCATTCTGAACCTGCTTGTTTCACAAGAAAGCAAAAGCATAAACTGACTTTTAGTCTCGCTAAGGGACTTTGAGCCTCCATTTCTTCCCATTTGTGAAGGCTGGCAACAGTACAGGGTTTCAAAAGACTGCCCTCTTTTCTAAACCCTTTTAACGTAATAGCTTTTCAAGCCCTTTTTGCACTTTGAGGCCTGAGTGCAGTGGGGCCAATGTATTTAATGTATCTAACAAACAAGTATCTTCCTGTTTGTTGCTGAATTACTTAATGATGTTAAGGAGAGTATGTGATTTCTCTACAAATGGAATGTTTGTTTTTCCCTAGAAAAACAGTGCTGTCTTAGCAGGGGTCAGTGCTAGAGGATTGGGGGAATTCTAAATCAAACGAGGGAAATAGGCTGCTTTGCATCAGTTTTGATGGGATGCAGGTAAAAGAACTCGTAGCACTGATTCAGAACTCTTATTTTATTTCATGTCTTTTTCTTGCTTTATAGCTGAACAAGCTGCAGTCGTCCAGCTCCAAAAAAGTCACATTTGGCTTGAATAAAAACATGACTGCTGGTGAGTCTAATACATCTGCGCGTCTCCACAGCATCTCTTGTAGCCAAGGAAGGGGAAAGCTGTATGCACTCACACACACCTATACTCTTCACCTCTCTAGAACAGGATGATTCTGGTCCTTTTTTGCTTCAATATTTGTATATAGTTTATAAACTATCCTCAAGTTCCTATCCAGAGGAGGTGGTAAAGTTTAGGACATTCAGGCCAACAGCTAGAGTGGCGCGATTCCAGGGTGCTGCATTACTGACTTGCAGAGGGAGCCTTACGGATAGAAAACGGTGCAGCAGATTGACAGACTTTCCTCCCTGAGCTGCCTGTTCTGCAGGGCGCCTCTTAGGGAAACACGTGCACTTCAGTCTTCATTGATCACTTCTGTTTCACAGGACAGAGGTGCTGATATGCTGATGAGCTCAGGCTGTATAATAGCAAAATTTCAGTTCTGTCGTGGCTGCCCCTGTGCTTTATTAATGGTAATGAGTAGATAAATGTCAGTTCCCTTCTGGATCCCACATGTAAGCAGACAGTGTTTTCCCTGATAAATGAATGTCTTGCTCCGTAGCATAAAAGTTTATTCCATGTATTCACTTAGTTTTGGTTTGTTTTTTTCTTAACTCTCAGAGGTGTGCTATAGGCCAAGTTCAAATGGAGAATAGTGGGTTTAGATATATGTCTTTATGTTAATATAACAAAGCTGCACAAAGAGAGGAAAAATGCCTACCTACTAGCAGAAGGAATAACCAAGAGTCTCTAGAACAGTGCTGTTCAACAGAGTAGAGCCACTTCTTACCCATCGTCATCTTTTAAAGTGTGGTGTTCTTCAGGATAGCTGGAACACTTGTTTCTGAGGAGTTGGCCCAGAGTATTCACTGGTCTGTGAAACCGTGGGGAATTGTTCACAGCCCCTCTATGGATTGCAGCAGACCCCACTCTCACAGGAACTCTGCTAAGAGATGTGCTTCGCCACCATCTCTCTTTGTTTTGTTGGGTTTTTTTTTGGTTTTTTTTTTGGCCAAGTCTTCTTAGGCTTCAGATCCTTAGTGATGGACTTAAGCATCTAAGGCAGACTTCCAGGGTTGGACAATTCCGCAGTTGATAGACGGGCCCAATTTTTCCAGGACTTGAATTTCTTTTAACTTGTTTGCTTGTTTTTCAACAGAATTTAAGAAGACTGATAAAAGTATACTAGTGAGCCCAGAAGGACCCTCCCGTGTGGCTTTCAATCCTGAGCAGAAACCCCGTCATGGAGTGCTGAAGTCACCCACAGGTACCCCAGCAGGAGAGCCTCAAATGAAGAAACCGTTTACTGTATCAGCTAAGAAGAGATCAACTCCTGTGGACTTCTTTTAAACCAACAGATGTGGCCTACTTTTGTACAGGACATTTTGCTAACCTAGAATGTTCTCTGGAGGTATTTTGAAGGTCTTTATTTTTTTAAGTTAATAGGAATTGAATATACAAAATTCTAATTGTGACCTGGGTCATCGCTATTTTGACACCACTTCAGCTATATCTTGAAATACTTGTTTTGTCTATTTACAGAAAAGAAACAAAATCCAGTCTGCTCAGGCTTGGTCTACAAAAAGTATGGTCTCTGCCCATGTCATTCCTGAGACACTTGTTGATTTAATTAAGGAACATTTAGGGTTTGGTTGTTCCGGTGACTGTTCTTTTGAGCCAGTTTAAGAAAACTTGCACTTCATGCTATTAAACTGTCTTTCATTGGACAAGGCTTAAAATGGAAAAAGACAGTGTAGATTTTAAACCTACTAGTTGTTCATGTATTTTAAAATTTTACCCCATCGTTTTTCATGTATCACCCTTGGCATCCCGTTAATTCTTCTTCTGGAAATAACGATTACTGCATGTCTCTGTTTAATAACAGCTGGACTTGGGTAGCTTTACAGATAGTAAGCAAGCTTTCTCCGGGATAAGAAATGCCTAGCTGTTCACGGGGTCACTGTTGCAAATAAACCTTTACAGCTGATTGCCTGCTGAGTTGGGAACAGTCACCACATTATTTTCAGTAACACAAGTGCCAAAGCTGGCTTAAACTTGTCATATTGTAAGCTGGCTTCTTCTATTTACTGTAACTGAAATGATGCTCTTGCATGGGAGAAATCTTTGATACTTCCCCCTGCCCCCAGTGCTGTCTTTCCTGAGGGTCTGACAAGACTCATAGTTTTCTATTTTAGCAGCTGGTGTCACCACATTTTGCCAGAACTCAGATCTCATTCAGTGAATGAACCTCTAATTGTCCTAAAGAGAGCTAGATCAGTGTAGTGCATCTATGTTAGGACACACATCTCTCTCTAAAAGCTTTGGTGCCTCTCAATACAGAGTAAAACTTTACAGCCCAGACAGCTTGGTTTTGGTTTTGATCTAGAACCAGAAGAATTCTTTCTGCAGCATTTCCTTGCGTGAAGTTTTATTTGGATATTTTATTACTACTGTGCATGTTTTGTGTTTATCTTTGCTTCTTTGGTAAAGAATTAGGTGTATTTCTACAAGAGGCCATTAATGTATTCTGAGGGGGAACTGTGAGGAAGGGGAGAGCAAATGAAAATAAAAACTTCTTTGATACAGTTGGAAGATCTGAAATCTTTCTTTTCAAGTTTTGCTTATGTGAATGAGGCAAAGGCTTTGCAGCAGGTCTCTACGTTAGAGCTCAGCTTCAAAGCACAACCTGGTGCCAGAGCAAAGCTATTATGAAGCTTCCCACCAGTTACTTCTGTGAGCCTGTAAGAGAGAGGGTAGGCCTGCTTCATTACCTTGTCTTATGGTAACTGGTAAACATTTAGCTACTTCAGCCAGCAAAATTAAATTTTCTAGTAATGAAGCATGCAAATATATTATCATCTTTGATGCTGACTGTTCTCTGCCAGATTACTCCTCATAAGCAACTGGATTGAAACTGCTCTTTTGTAGTTCATCTACAATTTCTTCAAAACACATGTGTACTTGCAGATTGCTGGTTGGTCTCCATTGCTCAGTTCTAATCTGTGACATTTCTTGCACTAGGTTTGCAACAGGCTATGGTTTGTGGTACTGCCATGAAAGTCACTTTGCTCTTGTCTTTTCTCATTTAAAGTGAAGGACTGAGTTTCATTTGGTTTTGTTTTAGTTTGTATTGGTTTGACTGATCAGTAAAGAACTGTGGAGAATATATCTGATAAAATTAATAATATTTGCTGTTTCAGCAATTACTGCAATTTCAGCAAGTATTGTTCATTTATGTTTTTAAGAAGTCTCATTGTATATTAGCATAATGCATTTTTTTGACAAGACTATGGTAAGTAGGATTTAACAAAGATTGTTCAATATATTGTACTGTTTATCTTGTACTGTGGGTGAGAAGTCTCTTGTGGAATATGCATAAAAGCATTTGTATGTGCATGGTTGTTAATGCATTATAGGTTGAAGATGCCACATTCCTCCCAGGATATAGATACAAACAACCAGTAGGTGGATCTGGTGTGCACAGAAAAATCCAGGATCAAGACGCATTGGGGTTTGGTTTTGTTTGGTTTTGCTTTTAATACATATAACTTATTACGGAAATATATTTAAATGGTTGTCTGGATCTTTTTCTGTTGGTTGTGGTTCCATTGACCATGGTTCCATTGACCCTGCTGCTTGTCCAAATGTTTTGTTGCCCGCAGTGCTAAATGGAGAGGGCAGAAATGGCAGTCAAGTTTTTTATCTAAAATTTTAGTCATGTGTTGCTTGTTGGGATTCATGCATAATCCATCTATGCCATGAAAGTGGTGGAATGTTTTGTAAATATACATATGTAGTGTGTATTGTCTTCAGTAGTGCCTGAAACTTCATTCAGGACAACTTCACAAACCAAACCCAAGCACTGTCAGTGTGGTTAAATTTGCATTGTTGGGTTAAATTGAACACATTACCCAAAATACTTGCATAGTGACAATTCCAATAAACGTTGAAGACAAAAATTTCAAACAAAGGAGGAAGAAATGTAACATCTGCAATATCCACTGCACAGACACGATGGTACAGTAAGGAGAGATGTATTGATAGGAGAAGAGAAAAGAAAAACTGATCTGACCTGTTTCATGTCGCTTCAGGTTTTTTCATAAGTGTTATTCCAACTCTACAGCTGCCAGTCATCCTCTGAGTCAAAGTAAGTTAATATGGCAAACCTTTTAAAGGACGGTATTTTGTAATTAATGTCTCTACATTTTTGTTACAAATCTGATCAACTTTGTACTTCTCAAGCTCTAATAGTTTATAATTCTTTATAGCTTCAAGAGAACTAAAAAGCACAAAATGAATTCAGCAAGACAAAAAATTGAAATTATATTTAAATTGTTGGGTATACAAGATCTTTTATATTCTATCAAAGCTATGTAACTTGGAAAGCGTCAAATGCCCTTTTTGTCATTCACTTCCTGTGCTAAGACTTAATTACAGGCAGAAAAAAAATCCATGTGTCATTTTATGTACCTCTGCAACAGCATTGTTAATACAAATACAGTGTCGAAGCATTACATCATTTAGTCTAGTCCAATAAACCATCTTTTTTTGTGTACATTGTATTTTGGGTAAATCTGTAAATATGGGGGGTGGGAGATGAGAGGGTAGCATCCAGGGGACCGCTTGAAAGTACAAAGGAAGTTCTTCTTGCATGTGTGCCCATGTTCTCTCTTTTTATTTTATTTTTATTGTATGAATAACCAAAACTGATGAAGACTCAGGAGCGTGTCAGAATTGAGTAGGGTTGTGATAGGATATACCTGTTCATACACCTGGAGCTTCTGACCTTTGTATTTGGGCTGTAGAGTAGATACCAGCAACTGAAAGATTGCTCAGGAGAAGCAAGTAGATCACAGTCATTCCTTGACAATTAAAATTGGTAATTGAAGTGATAGTGTGGCATATGGAGTTACATACATACAGGAAGACTGCACAGAGCACTGCATCTCCATCTCGGGGTACTGACAGGCCCTGCAACTGTGCAGGATCAATAAAAAGAATGAATCATGTTTTCTTGACAGGTACAGAATTTTCAGAAATGCAAAAAAATTTATTCAAAGTGACCTATCCACAGAAGTGGCAGTAGTAAAACATAAATCCACAGGTAAAATGAAAACAGATTTCCTTCAGAACAAAGTCCTGTGAAAGTGACATTCTTGCTACATGTTTAAAATAAATTCACACGTCTTTATGGATACCTCAGTTTCTAGTAGTAGTGTGTGTTGAAGACCATAGTAATAACATACAACCATAAATGAAGTGCTGCATGTGCTTTTATTGTACATGGTGCCAGGTGGAAATCCGTAGCTGTAGTTTAGCCGTGGTGCCAAGATATGACTGACTTATTGCAGGAACTTATGCCACCTTCACGCCATGTAGGATCTTACTCACTTTGGTGCAGTGCTGTACAGCAAAACTTGTAGTGCCTACCCTGAACGCACTCTAAGGGGTTGTTGTAAGATTTGGTGCAGTGTCTCTGGCAGTTACTGGCAGTCTCTCTTCCAACGCCTCTCGAGGGGATGGACTGCAAGATGGGGACTGGAGGAGCAAAGTCCCTCCCACTGTAAGAAGATCAGGTTCAAGACCACCTGAGGAACCTGAACATGCACAAGTCTATGGGACCTGACGAGATGCATCCCAGAATCCTGAGGGACTTGGCTGATGTAGTTGATATTTGAATAGTCCTGGAAGTCAGGTGAAGTCCCTGGAGATGGGAAAAAGAGAAACATTGCACCCATTTTTAAAAAGGGTCGAAAGGAGGACCCTGGGAACTACAGACCTGTCAGCCTCACCTCTGCGCCTGGGAAGGTAATGGAGCAGATCCTCCTAGAAGCTATGCTAAGGCACATGGAGGACAGGGAGGTGAGGCAAGACAGCCAGCATGGCTTCACCAAGGACAAGTCCTACCTGACCAACCCAGTGGCCTTCTGTGATGGAGTGACTACATCAGTGGACAAGGGAAGAGCTACTGATGTTGTCTATCTGGACTTGTGTAAGGCCTCTGACATGGTCCCCCACAACACCCTTTTCTCTAAATTGGGGAGATCTGGATTTGACGGGTGGACTGTTGGATGGAGGAGGAATTGGTTGGATGGTCACATCCAGAGGGTAGTAGTCAGAGGTTCAATGTCCAGATGGAGAGCGGTGATGAGTGGTGTTCCTCAGGGGTCCATATTGGGACCAGTACTCTTTAATATCTTCATCAATAACATAGTGAGATCCAGTGCACCCTCAGTAAGTTTGCAGACAACACCAAGCTAAGTGGTGCAGTTGACACGCCTGAGGGATGGAATGCCATCCAGAGGGACCTGGACTAGCTCAAGGAATGGGCCCATGTGAACCTCATGAGGTTCAACAAGGCCAAGTGCAGGGTCCTGCACGGGGGTTGGGGCAACCCCCAGTGTTAATACAGGATGAGGGATGAAGGGATTGAGAGCAGCCCTGCTGAGAAGGACTTGGAGTACTGGTGGACAAGAAGCTGGACATGAGCCAGCAATGTGTGCTTGCAGCCCAGAAGGCCAACCATGTCCTGGGCTGCATCCAAAGCAGCATGGCCAG